ATAAAGTTATGCAATTTAGTCTAATTAACAATTAGATTATGAGCTCAAGATTTCTATGAGGTGATAGCTGATGAGGTCGAAGGCCAAATCAACTATTGCCTAATAGAAATCGAGAGCAAATAATTGACTTGTTTTTGTAGAATTCTAACTAACGTTTCCTTCAAATAACGATTCCAATTATTTCTGGTCTTAGTATTAAACTTCACGCCTTGAGCAGAGAATTTGCGTGGACTGAGTTGGCAATTTGACATTTGCAGATGTGTACGTGTGCCTATCAGTTTCTTTAAAAAATTTCAAGCTTTTTTACTTCAAGAAACTGTAAATGCCCTCCTTTTAGTCTTCTCAGGAATTCTATTATCCATTTGTTTCTAAATGTTCTTTCAAAACTTAGGAGAAGTGAGGAAACGTTGCAATTTTGTCGACCACACCAAGCCACTGCACGCCAAAGGCAGATAGTGTGCAGTGGCTCAGCCAATCAGATTGCAGCATTTGTATTAGTGCACTAGGCTGTGCTCTAGCAGTACCAACCGGCTTCCACCTTCGGGCGACAAGAAAAACATACCTAGTCGCCCAGTTGGGCAACCACCTTTTTGAGATTTAACTTAGAGATGAAGAGAGTCTCACAATAATTTGTCTTTCCCTTTTTGATTTCATGTGTTGTATTGAAGTTTACAAGGCAAAATGGCTCAATTCAGAATGTTTTAATTTCAGTGGCTTGTTCGATGCGTACGTTTAATACTGGCCTGCAGTGATATAGGCAGCAGTTTCCTTGTATGCTTTGTATAGTGTCAACAAAAAGTCTTCTTAGTTCTTGTCGTTTGTGTAATATAATGTGCATGAAAAGTCCCTATTGAAGGAGAATGTGAACTAAATTATCACAAGGATAGAGAGAAAATAGGGTAAAAGGACTTAATTTTTCTCCATATGTCAACCATTTTAACTCAAAAAAAAATGTAAATTTTGTCTTTCTTTATGGACTTTTGACAGCAGTATTGCAAAAAATTTACATGTGAACCTTTTATCTGTGGCATCTGTAAATAGGATAAATGCCCTAGAAACAATGCAAGACATTTTTTTTTTGAGGGTCAGTTGGTTATCATATATTAATTGATAATGTAATTAATCAATCAATTAATTTCTTTTTTTCTTTTTTCGTCTGGGCCACTAAGCTTGACTTCTGGGCACCCTAGCCTACAAGGTTGGGTGATCGAAGGGCTCCCTAGAATTTTTCTTAGAGCACAACCTTGAAAGATAGATAGATAGGATAGCCATATAGGTGTGTTATTAGCTTCTCTTCTACACAGCAGAACAATTTTTTTGTAACATAGTAAATGGTTTGAACCCAGGAGTATCAGTAGTTTGTATAGTGGGATTGTCCAGGTGAGGGCACCAACAACAGTTCTTTTCAGAACTATCCTCACCCAGACGATCACACTATACGAACTAATTTTTTTGTATACGTGTACATGTATAGCTGGAAGCTTACAGCTTTATAACTGACACCAGCTTAATTGATCAGCAATGACCACCCAAGAGAAACTAGACTCAATTTCTGCTACTGTGATGTTTTGATCCACCCTATCAAAAGCCAGGGGAGTAGAACAGGCTCTCTTCTTGAAACAGAACCTGTTATTTCAGCCATAAAAGTAAGAAAAAAGGAACATGTAAGAATCAATG